CTCCCGTGCTCATACAGAACATTTTTCTTTTGGGCGAACAAGGAGATCTACATCCACATTTATTATGAAATAGACGCTTGATCCATAAACAGTCAGGAGAGGCAACAGATATTGTGACATAAATTCTTTTCATTGGTATCAGTTGATTTTTTTAGACAATCAGATAAAAGAGTGTTACAACATGGCTGAACAACCCCACCCGAATTGCACGGTAACGAATATTGCCAGAAGCATGACATATTCAAACATAGCTGGCAAAATTAACTTCAGGCCTGGCAACCAGACGCTCGTCAGTGCAACGCAGAGCCACCTTAGCAAGTGCAGAAGTCGAAAAACATTTGGCATCCAGAAACACCTTGAGCAAACTTGTAGATCGTCCCTGTAATGGTCGCCCACCAGTAACCAACCACCATATCAAGACCAATAGACAGAGGTTCCTGGCAGTAACCCTTGCCGCGCGAACCATACCCTTCAAGATAGTGTATGTGTGAAAGCAGTTCAGAAGGGTTTCTCGTTTAAGGCATCTGTGCAAAGGCGCCAGTTCTGACGTCTCGTGTGGAGACAGACAACTCTTACAACAAAAGAATACACCATCACGATGAAAACTGATACTACTTACAGTGACTCAGCCGACCAGGTACAGTAAAACAAGCCAACACGAACATTTTCTGATTCGGAAGTGTGTCATGATGATTACATCGAAATGTGTCGTTCATATACTTATAATCATATACTTCGTCACGCCGAAGCCCCGGGTTCAAATCCCCACATGGGCACAATGTGTGAAGCCCATTTCTGGTGTCCCCCGCCGTGATGTTGCTGGAATATTGCTAAAAGCAGCGTAAAAACCAAACTCAGTCAGTCAGTATAAACGTCACGTGAACGACCTCTTGTCCAACTGAAAACTATGAGTACATATGACACAATGTCACACTGACTCACTGGCGTTTGTGCAGCTTTGTTGTATTATTAGATTTGTGGAATCGGTTGAATTTCGCAGTAGAAACTCTCGCAATTACAGTTAACATAACCTTTCTTCAAAGTATTTTATTGAAAGTAAGATATTGGATATTGTAACATACACACAGTTAGTGTCGGTGGCTAATAAGTCGAAAAACAATTTAAAGCTACCAACTGTAAGTATTGTTGCCTTCGATACAAGGAACAGACGCATAGCTGTGATTCCAACCTGTGATGTCACCACCTTCGACGAAAACATCTGCAGCTGTTTCAAAAGGAATTAACAAAAGACATTAACATTTTACTGGGCATGGGTGGAAAATAATGGCAATTTCATGTATATGTCAAATATGGTCGTGGTTATGAAATGTAATCGGTATAGTGACATATGTACAATTAGATATAGATACAATATCAATGTTACTATGTATTCTATTGGATTAAATCTTTCACAACAAATTAACCCATTAACTCACTGATCGAGATGCCTTTTCATCCATGGCAGACACTCTTATCCCATGTAGGAGATCCACAAAGCAAGCGCTCTGAAATTACCAAAATATTCTGTCCAGAGTACACATCCCAAGCCCCTTATTTAAGAATGTGCAGTTGCATTCGTAGGAAAGCGTATATAATATGTGTTATAATATTCCCAGAAATCATTGAGAAACTTGTTTCGACAAATATCGGATATAGTTATGTACTGTAACGGAAATAATTATATACTGTAACGGATGTAATTATATACTGTAACGGATATAATTATGTACTGTAACGAATAGAGTTATGTACTGTAACGGATATAATTATATACTGTAACGAATGTAATTATATACTGTAACGGATATAATTATGTACTGTAACGGATGTAATTATGTACTGTAACGGGTGTAATTATGTACTGTAACAGTTGTAATTATATACTGTAACGGATGGAATTATATACTTAACGGATATAATTGTGTACTGTAACGGCTGTAATTATATACTGTAACGGATATAATTATGTGCTGTAGCGGGTGTAATTATATACTGTAACGGATGTAATTATTTACTGTAACGGATATAATTATGTATTGTAACGGATGTAATTATATACTGTAACGTATGTAATTATGTACTGTTACGGTGTAATCATATACTGTAACGGATATAGTTATGTACTGTAACGGCTGTAATTATATACTGTAACGGATATAATTATATGCTGTAACGGATGTACTTATTTACTGTAACGGATATAATTATGTACTGTAACGGATGTAATTATATACTGTAACGTATGTAATTATGTACTGTAACGGCTGTAATTATATACTGTAACGGATGGAATTATATACTTAACGGATATAATTGTGTACTGTAACGGATGTAATGATATACTGTAACAGATGTAATTATGTACTGTAACGGGTGTAATTATATACTGTAACGGATATAGTCATGTACTGTAACGGCTGTAATTATGTACTGTAACAGATGTAATTATGTACTGTAACGGATATAATTATGTACTGTAACGGATGTAATTATATACTGTAACGGATATAGTTATGTACTGTAACGGCTGTAATTATATACTGTAACGGATATAATTATATGCTGTAACGGATGTACTTATTTACTGTAACGGATAATTATGTACTGTAACGGATGTAATTATATACTGTAACGTATGTAATTATGTACTGTAACGGCTGTAATTATATACTGTAACGGATGTAATTATGTACTGCAACGGTGTAATTATATACTGTAACGGATATAGTTATGTACTGTAACGGCTGTAATTATATACTATAACGGATGTAATGATATACTGTAACAGATGTAATTATGTACTGTAACGGGTGTAATTATGTACTGTGACGGATATAGTTATGTACTGTAACGGCTGTAATTATGTACTGTAACGGCTGTAATTATGTACTGTAACAGATGTAATTATATACTGTAACAGATGTAATTATATGCTGTAACGGATATAATTATATACTGTAACAGATGTAATTATGTACTGTAACGGGTGTAATTATGTACTGTAACGGGTGTAATTATGTACTGTAACAGATGTAATTATATACTGTAACAGATGTAATTATACACTGTAACGGATATAATTATATACTGTAACAGATGTAATTATGTACTGTAACAGATGTAATTATGTACTGTAACGGGTGTAAATATGTACTGTAACAGATGTAATTATGTACTGTAACAGATGTAATTATATACTGTAACAGATGTAATTATGTACTGTAACAGATGTAATTATGTACTGTAACAGTTGTAATTATATACTGTAACAGATGTAATGATATACTGTAACGGATATAATTATATACTGTAACAGATGTAATTATATACTGTAACAGATATAGTTATATACTGTAACAGATATAGTAATGTACTGTAACGGATGTAATTATATACTGTAACGGATGTAATGATATACTGTAACAGATGTAATTATGTACTGTAACGGATGTAATTATATACTGTAACGGATGTAATTATGTACTGTAACGGGTGTAATGATATACTGTAACGGATATAGTTATGTACTGTAACGGATGTAATTATATACTGTAACGGATGTAATTATGTACTGTAACGGCTGTAATTATATACTGTAACGGATATAGTTATGTACTGTAACGGCTGTAATTATATACTGTAACGGATGCAATTATATACTGTAACGGGTGGAATTATATACTGTAACGGATATAGTTATGTACTGTAACGGCTTTAATTATATACTGTAACGGATATAATTATGTACTGTAACGGTTGTAATTATATACTGTAACGGACATAGTTATGTACTGTAACGGCTGTAATTATGTTCTGTAACGGCTGTAATTATATACTGTAACAGATGTAATTATGTACTGCAACGGGTGTAATTATATACTGTAACGGATGTAATTATATACTGTAACGGATATAGTTATGTACTGTAACGGATGTAATTATTTACTGTAACGGATGTAATTATGTACTGCAACGGGTGTAATTATATACTGTAACGGATATAGTTATGTACTGTAACGGCTGTAATTATATGCTGTAACGGATATAATTATGTACTGTAACGGATGTAATTATGTAATGTATCGGATGTATTGTATTGTAACGGTTGTAATTATGTACTGTAACGGGTGTAATTATGTACTCTCACGATCACTGATGTAAGGGCGTGAACGTTGTCATACCGTCAAAATACACTATTTGCAGATTTGCGGTCCATAAACGTGCCAGAATCCGCCAAGCTGCACTGACAACGACAGAAACATTTTAAACCGTTCATATTTTTAAAGAATATAAATATATTCTTACCATTGAATTGATGTAAGCTCCACTAAGTGTAATGACTGCAGCAGGGATGATGGATCCTGCAAGAGCATTTGCAACAATTACTGTTCCATCTGGCGAGGGATCCAATTTCTGGAAACTGTAGATTGTGAAGCAAAGCAGTGGGAGACACAAGAAGTACGTTACAAATGTTCCCGAAGAAAACATCGATTCAATGGTGTCCACCAAACTGACAGCATCTTCATATTCTTCACGAATCATTTCCAGGACCTGAATGTTGTATTGTTTCTTTTTGAGTCCTTGCTTTACTGATTTAAATTCCATTCCGATGTGATAGGCAGCAAGCGCTAACAAGCTGAGTGTGACACCAAGCCGTATGTAGGCAAATGCCATATGGAGGCAGTAGAGAATCAAACCAATATCCCATAAAGATTGTTCCTGGTACAAACGGTGCCATTCTGAGGTGAGTCACTAAACTGTCGTTACCCTTATCAGCTCTGGTATCGGATATGACACTGTATGGTACATACACTGCTAAAAGGAAGAGGAACATGATCCACGAGCCCAAAATCAACCAGACTATCATGTGTGTGCTCTTCTTGTTAGCCAGTTTTCGATCTCTCCAGTTTTCAAAGTACACCTGTGCGTTGTCTCTCCAGGACATATTAAGGGCAGTTTGGAAACAGACGTTGTAGAAATGTAATATGAAAAGCATGGCTTTGCTTGCCTCCTTCGGCGAAGTCACGTTCCTCCAGTTGGTTAGGCCATCCTATCCGCACGGTCTCAAACCATCCGAGTACCAAAGTAAGCACTGTGATTACACAAGACACCACGCCTAAGCATTTCTCACGAACTTTATATCTAGTAAGGTCCTTGTAATATATTCCACAATTATTTATTACAGTCATCAGATGCCTGAATATCTTTTTAAAGGCATAATCCTTCACTGTAATCATCTCTCCTTCCATGATGCAGTTGAAATCAGAATATATAAATCTTTGCAACTGGCAATGCTGGACAGAACTACCGATGCACAGTGAGTGCCACCTCGGTCAATAAAGTAAAACGTGTGGATTTGAAAAGTTGTTTTCATCATTGCCATGGAGACATGCCATCATTGGTTTGCTTAACCATTAGCTGTCAACAGATATTTTTGGTGGCTGTTGGCGTGTATTTGTTATCGTTCATTTTCGGTTGTAATCCTGATGATATAATGTGATTGAAATATTCGCTAGATTAGCTTTCGTCAGCACCTGATACAGTGCAGTTTGTATGTGCGTTGTTTGATTTGATGTGATGGGCTTGACTTCCAAAGTTGTTCTGTTTCAGGTTCTGAAGAAGAGATCGTTTAGTTAGAGAAAAGAGTTGGAGTAGAAAATACATTCTTACCTCTTTAGCTTCTGTTTTCAAATCCCATCTTAAAGATTGGCATTTTGTGTGCACATATGACTGACCCGGGACGCAGAGGCCGCTCTGGCTACTCAACAACACATTTCCTCTCAGAGAAGCAGATTACAACTGGCTAATGTACAAAAAGGTGTCTATATGTTCATGTAATTTACAATGATCTCACGACTGCCTTAAGTTAACCAATGGTGCATTTTGGAGAGGCTTTCGGCAGACACCTTGCGAACGTTCCACAATATCCCTATAATACAGCCTCAGGAAGATGCTGGGCAGGCCATTTGAGTATGTGTCTCGGGTTTCATTTTAGTTATAGACCTCTAAGTATAGTTAGTGACAGTTACTTTTTCCGATACTTTGATACTACCCATTATGCAATCCATGTTCATGGCAATGTGGATAGACATCTGCCCAGAAAGCGGTATGATCAGCGTCTGCACAATACCAAACACGCTATAAGATAGTAGGTATTGATACATGCTTGTGCAGGCGATAAAACAAGGTCTGGTCTGGCCACGCTCAGCCAAATATGAATTATGTACATTTTGTGATATCTCTAGGTTAGAACTTGTGAAACAGCGCACAAGTGTTTGCACTTCACTACAAACAAGCAATACCCGTGATTGCAACGTGACATAACACACTCATTTTGAAATAAGAAGGCATGCTTGTATTTATTCAGAATTTCGTTCGCAAAGAGCAAAATTCTAAATATTTCGACACCATAACGTTTGAATATCAGTGCGAACTATTTATCTGCGTAGTGCTCGAAATGTATAACATGGTCACTGTTACTTTGTAGGTCAGATCGACATGACAGAGCTTCCTCTCAACAAACGTTTCATGCGCAACTAGAATGAGGCAGAGAAATATCATTCCCTTGACTATTATCACTTATTGACATAAATATTAGGTTTACCGACACGATATGATAAAGCTGGCATGTTCAGATTGATCACTGATCAATGTGTTTCCGGTCATGAACAATTTATTGGCAGCTTGAGGGATTAAACAAATCCTCAAACTGCCAAAGAGCATTTGCCATCATATCATGCGTATGGATAACATTTTATGAACTACCTCCGGATAATGGCTTTTAGGAAATAATGTTTGTGAGACACTCGAAAGATCAGTTTCCCTGATAAACGCATATAGTCTGTAAAATGGGCAGGACATGTGGCTGTAGAATTTCAAACTGCTGGAGGGTTTAATTGCCCTGAACACGAACACCTTGACCCTGCCACTGTGTGAAACTGCAGCCCTAACCATTCCACTACATTCGACAAGGAAACTTCCTGTATGAACTTTCTTCAACTGCGCTTCAACGTTGTTTAATGTTCCAGTTCGTACAATAAGCAGAGTTTTACGTAAGAGAATTAGGCATGAATCTAAAAATCAACAAATATATGTTATAGAATGAACATTTGTATTCTAAACTTGACAGAGTTTACAGTGAATGAATAGGATGTTGAGCTGCATGTGGAAGTATCGATCTATATTACAATGAGGAAATGGGCTTCAAATTAGTTTTACAAATCAATGCAGCTACTACAAAGTAATTACAATGACAGTAGAAAGTAGAATGGCAGTAAGGATCTAGGTGTATTTCAAATCCGGTTGAAATATAATAAACAAACAGTGACGACACTGATGGTATTAATCACAAAGCAGCGATAGTGGACAGCCTTCCAAAACTACCAAGCTGGGAGTTCAGTTTGAAAGGACATCTTCACGCACACCTGGTATTCATGTATGTTTAATGCTGGTTTGCAGGCTGGCCACTCTTATATTGTCTAAATACTTACTTGGATGTTCTGTCCAATACTGCATGAATGAGGATGCTTTTGAAGCTACCAGAATACTCTTGAATCCCAGTCAATATAAAGTAACAAGGCACACCACTGCTATCTAATGAATCCTATCACGATGTTGAAGGTTCCAGTGTGATCAATAGTTTGCCATAAATGCGTTGTTTGGAACCATACAGATAGCAGTTTTGTTTGACAACCACATTACATTACATCGACGTTCCCTACCTTACATACACTAAAGAAAGTAATTGCTATTTTCAGTTTCATTCATACACTGTTAACATGTCTGAGGCATAGTTACTGCAAACTAATAAATATTTTATTTTCGATTTTCTTTTTTAAGGATTTTATTGTAAACTGTGTTGTGAATGCGATTGCTACACCAGTTACATCAGGTAGCTGCCAGCTCTGTTCGGCAGCCTAGAAGTCTCATCATCTGTTCCATGAATGCCCTGACAACCGAGAGACTCTGTGTCTCTCTATCCTGGACACGTTTGGCGCAGATGTGTATGTCATGTTGGACTCGATGGAACTGAATGAAAAAAACAAAGACTCTTCTTGGGGGACACACCCTCGACATAGAGGATAATAAAAAACTTCACCTTGTGGAACTATTCTTCCTCTCCAGTGGACTCATTCGCCATTATCACTTATCTAATTAACTTTTCCCTCTTGCCCAGCTGGAAATCAAAAAAGTTTGGAGGAGCTAAAGACACTCACTCATGTATGTTGAGAATGTACTTCCAACATCCACCCGTGAAGAATTGGTCTTGGGCAACCCATGCCTATCTTCCTTTAAAGTCCGGGTTAGAATTAGTCTCCAGCAAATCATGCTAATTGTAAAAGGCGACTAACGTGATCGGGTGATCAGGCTCACTGACTTAGTTGTCACATGTAATCGTATCCCAGTTGCGTAGATCGATGCTCATGCATTTGATGACTGTATTGTCTGGCCCAACTCGATTATTTATAGACCACCGCCATATAGATGGAATATTGCTGAGTCAAAAAACAAGCCGACGAACCAACCAACTCCCACTATCACTGATGCAAGGAGATAAACCAATGCAAAAAATACATATTTTAGGGGGATGTGAACGTCAATTTGGACGAAAATAAATACGACATACGTAAGTGTTATCTAATCAGAAATATACATAAACAGTAACGAATCAGAAGGAATATACACGTCGACTGAATGACAATATTTGCAAAATAAAGTCTTCACAAGTTGTAAATTCAGTAGCTGTAATACATCAGGTTAGGCAAGATTCAATATTCACCCAGTTTTGTTTGCCCTAGCAACTACAAGATGTGTTTCCATTTAGATACGTGGGTCCAGTCGGATATTGTGGGAACTGCAGTACAATCACAACATACGTGATGATAGTCCTGCCAACTGAAACATACAAAAAAAATAACATAAATGATGACAATTCCAGCCAGATGAAACAGAAAATAAAAGCATGGACAACAATTATTTATTCTTGATACTTGCACATGATGAAGGAGAAAGAAGAATAAGCCCTGAAACGTCGTGATAACGAATGAAAAGAAGTTGTTATCAATAAAACGTGTCAGGTATTCACGTTCGTCCAGTTTCTAAATGCTGTTCAAAGACCGCTCTCCAAAGTGCTGCACGTTCTTTCTTGAGTTGTGTTTGGATACTGAAACATGCATATAGTTAATCGTGGTAACACTTTATCACAATCTAACTGATAATAAAGTTACCTACTGTGAGTATTGTTGCTCTCTCTACCAGGAACAGTCCTACAGCTGTGATTCCAACTCGAGACGTAACCACACGCGACGTAAACATCTGCAGCTGTTATAAAATACTCCATTAAAAACAGACCAAATATTTTGAAAGTCATATTGAATATTGGTGGACTTTCTACAATTGCAGCAAAAGACATTACCACCCGGGTCCTACATATCTGCAGCTCTATTGAAAGATAATTCATTGGATGTTTGAAGAAAAACGGTGATCGACATTGATGCCAGTTCAGGTAGCAATGTAAAATAATATGCTATTCGAATACACGTGTTCATGATGTTGACAATCTACTATATAGATTAAACGTTAATGCAACTAATTGTCCTCTTGCAATAGATATCTCATTTAAAGCAAAGATATTATGAGTTGACAGCTTAGAAATATATACTGCTGGCCACAAATTGGCATAATGTTGTCAAGAACAGGCTGGCCTTACAGATCGAGCTGCTTGCTCATCCATGTCCTGCAATCTTATCCTGTGAAGGAGATTCTCGAAGCAGGTGCTCTGAAAGTAAAAAGTAAATACTCACTGTCCTTTACTATACTAATGTGGACATCCTTTACTATACTAATGTGGACATCCTTTACTATACTAATGTGGACATCCTTTACTATACTAATGTGGACATCCTTTACTATACTAATGTGGACATCCTGTTCAACTGATCGAAGTATATTTTACCCTCTCACGTTCCCGCAGTGGAAAACGTCTGTGAAAACGTTAGTGTAATGCTGAATTTGGTGCCACAATATTAAGTTAAAAATTCTGGATTCTAGGATTTGGTGTGTCTTACCCCTGCACACTTTGGACATCTGACATGATCAAATACATGAACGTAGAGCTAATTGCATCAGTCATTGTTTTGAACTTTGAATTTCAAATAAATATCTGAGGACAGGGGCTGTTTCTACATTTAAAAAATATAACAACTGTCATCAAGGTACGTATTATCGTGAAATGTAAAGAGGAGAACATGCTAAGTTCGTTCCAGGACGAATTCAACAATATTTTCTTTGAATATGCCTATAACAATTTACATTATTTTGAGATAATGAGAAACAATTACCATGATCATTACAAACATCCTCTTGTCAATAAAATGTCTGACATTCTCAAAGTAATTGACATGTGTGACGTTGATGAGTGTGCCATTAAACATGATGACCTTGCTCTTTGTTACTGATTTAAGTTACCGATGGGGTTAACAGAAAAGTTACTCCCTACTGGTTGACGTAGCCATAATGGGAATATCGTTGAACATGGCAATAAAGAGCATTCAGCACTTAAAACGTCTCCAATGGTTCCATCCCAACGATGACGGTTGTAACATTAATGCAGTGGTAGGCGTAGCAAAGCAGTCAAAATAAATTCCTTCAGGTTTGTGGCCTACAATCGTGCCTGGAGCTACCAATAGGTCTGAGATTGTATTTGTTCAAATCTTCAATTTTATTGCAAATCGGTTTCATAGTGAGACGTGTATCTATATACTTACCATAGAATTTATGTAGGCTCCAGCAAGTGTGATAACTGCAGCAGGAAATGCCGAGCCAACAACGGCATTGAAAATAACAACCACTGCATCTGGTGAGAATTCCCATTTCTGGAAACTGTAGATTGTGAAGCATAGCAATGGGAGACAACACACGTAGGTAACAAATGTTCCTGAAGAAAACATGGATTCAAGTGTGTCCACCAAACTGACAGCATCTTCATATTCTTCACGAATCATTTCCAGGACCTGTGTGTTGTATTGTTTCCTTTTGAGTCTTTGTTGTACTGATTTAAATTCCGTTCCGATGTGATAGGCAGCAAGCACTAACAAGCTGAGTGTGACACCAAGCCGTATGTAGACAAATGCCATATGGAGGCAGTAGAGAATCAAACCAATATCCCATAAGATTGTTCCTGGCACAAACGGTGCCATTCTGGTGAGTCACTAAACTGTCGTTAACCTTATCAGCTCTCACAGCAAAAATAACTTAGTTTCCGTTCTTGCGGAAACCTAATGGATACTGGGTAATGTAGGTTTCCGCTAGGTTTCAGTATGCGGAAACAGACAATGCGAGTTTCCGCATAGTTTACAAAACTGAAACTAACAAATCTAGGTTTCCGTCAAGTTTCTACAACTGAAACTATCATTATGCGTTTCCATTTAGTTTCAGTTCGCTGAAACATTCATAGCAAAATGACTTAGTTTCCGTTATTGCGGAAACCTATTGGATACTGGGTAATGTAGGTTTCCGCTAGGTTTCTGTTGGTTTCAGCTAAGATGAAATGGCAAACTTAGCTTTGTGCTGTTCCATTGGGGGACAATATTTACTTACTGTTACATTTGCAAGATAATTTCTATATACAGAATCCAGCTAGGGTCCATGCAGGAAGCAAAAGTACTGTACGTTCCCGTAGTCCCTAGTATGTTGATCAACCTTCAGGTGTTTGCAATCTATAGCCCATTTTTATACTGTACCGTTTAAGTGTTTATGGTTACATGCCAGTTTTTAGTGTACATTTGTGATAGACAAGTTATTTTACTGTCCTTCGAAGACAGGTAAAGTATATAAGTTTGTTTTATTTCATGTACACATTTACAAATTTAGATTTACGACTTTCCTAGTCACGATATGGCTGCCGATGTGACTTTGTAACTCACTACCATTCTGCATAACTTGTGAATGTACCATTTATTACATTTTACACGGAAAACAACAAACACAGTAACACAGTCACTAATATGATTCATCTGTTTCATTATTTTGAACAGCTCACATTTCAATAGAACCCAACAATGTAGTATGTATGTATGTATGTATGTATGTATGTATGTATGTATGTATGTATGTATGTATGTATGTATGTATGTATGTATGTATGTATGTATGTATGTAGGTATGTAGGTAGGTAGGTAGGTAGGTAGGTAGGTAGATAGGTAGGTAGGTAGGTAGGTAGGTATGTGAGAAGCCACATCAAGAGGGAATCTTCAGCATTGGAGAACACAACTTCTGTATGAATATGCAAATACAAATATGTCGAAACCCTACAACATTTTATGCATATGATGAAATGATGTCTACTAGTGCAGGCATAACATACTTGCTGTGGTATTTATTAAACAGATTTCAAATTCAAATGTTTATTGTATGAAAGGTCATGGGCCCATATACATGAAATGTATATTTGAAGCTGCCTCAATGTATCTTAACATATACACACTAACAATCTCAAATAGTAAAGACTTGGCAACTTGCTGACAATCTAAAGCTTCTATTGCACTCATACTGAGCTGATAGCCATCCTCTGATCTTGTACATATGAAGCAGAGCCTGAGATGAGACATTTGTTTTGCCACACAGAGAAAGGGGAAATATAACCAAGTTGATTACAACAAGGCTTGAACCAGTCCACAACCGCAAACAGATGGTGTATGCTCTACTTAAGATCTGTGGGTGAATACGAAGAGTCCTGGTTGATGTCTGGCACAACATCGTTGCCATGCTCATCGTCCCACACAGACTCTGCATCATCCTGCAAATACAATACATACAATGCTTAGTAAAACTACAAAAACAGCCAAAGTAACTCATGTATACATATTCAAAAACATGCACAGTGGTACATCTGATCACAATTAAATTATAAAATTAGAACGACTAATTTGTAGATGTAACCAAAAGATTTTTTTCACAATCACAAAGGAAAGATCTGTAGTATACATGTATATTGTATCTTCCATTGGACATGTCACTTATTTGATTGATTGGTACCAGAAATAGTAGCCAACCCAGTATTCTAGGAAGCAAATTGTGGTAATATTTATTACTGTTACTGTACTCATATTCAAGGTAACATCTACTACGAAATCGCCAATTGAAATCTAAGCATAGGTAAGACGGTACATACATATTTTAAATAGATACGAATCATGTTTAAACACTGAATGTAACACCTGATTATATATGTGATCTTATTCATTTCAAATTGAAATGACCAACTCAACTGAGAGAAAAGCATACAAAACCTAACATTTCCCATGAATGAAAAATCGTGGGTATTTCTTAGTTTTATCAACCCTCTAAGGAAACATTCACAGCAATATAATAACATAAAATATTATTTTTTAATGTGACCTTTACTTTAATTTAAAAACTGTAAAATGTGTAACACAACTTATTCACTTTCAGTTACAGTTACATATCTGATATACAATAATTAAATATATTCGTTATTGATATATGACGGATAACAAAGGAACAGATCAAACTGAAGTCGTTATGTGAAACCTATGAAGTGAAGTATCTTTGACGACTAACCTGATGAGAAACTGCCGTCCATTCCAGACGGATTCCTTGTTTCCTTGAAACAAACGACTGGCAGTGCGGACAGAAAACTGGTCTTTTTCTTGGAACTGAAAAACATATCAACTTATAATTACACTGGAATCCACGCACTGTTACATTTTGAGTGATTATATTTTCACAAAGATAAAGAAATTTATTCTATGTATCGATTTAGTGTTTACTTGTTTTTGACTAAATGCTGATGAATAAAAAATATTGTTTTAAGATTTCCTTTAATGAAATTAGGAGCATGGTATGGTGTGTAACTATAAATTATTACCAAGCCAAGCCTCTTGTCAATCTCCAACAAGTCAGTGGATCCACCAATACGTATCTGTAAATTGAAAAAATGATTTTTTTAGAAATGTTACACGTGACTTGTGTCGTGGGAAATGCATTGTAAGACTAAGAGGTTTAATAATTGATTACACAAATTATTACACAAAGCTATGAGTGTAAAGTATATGTAATAATTGTTTTAATGGTTATAAAATGATAAAATAGATGAGTTGCTTGCTTTCCTATCATGCTGCATACTATTTATTATTTGTTTTGTTCGTTGTATCAATGGAATGGAGAGGTATTCAAATAAGCCATTGCGGCTTGTTTACCAATCCTGGTTCAATTTGTTTTGAATAAAATATGTTTACACTAACATAGATGAACTGGTATAATTGGATAAATACCGCCATATAGCTGGAATATTGCTGAGTGCGGCGTAATACTAAACTCACTCACTCAGATATATTGAGCTGACATTACATATAAACTAGTAATAAGTAAACTTATAATACATGGGAATAGTATACGTAGATCTAGGTGTAGAACTGAAAAGGATGAACATGATATAAGCATGTCTAATACACTTGCATGTTTTGAGCTCAATAAGGTAAATTACTTACATGATGAAGTTTTACGTCCAGCAGAAATATGTTCGTATATTGCCTACTCCTGACAGGGTTTTGAAAAGTCACCTATTTGCCACTAACACAAGCTCTCATGAGTAGTACTCATGAAGCTCGATCAGGACTTTTAAAGTAACGTGAATATGTTTTCAGATTTATTCACTGTTAATTATCTCTAGGCCTACATGTTGATGCTTGACACTGAGGAGGAGCAATTAGTGCCCATAATGCGATGAAAAGACCCTTAAGCCCATACAAGCCCACTGTTGTCACTTTGGGTACTCACATTCAATCTGCTCATTTCCACCTTTCACGGTCCCCTTTGATGTCGGCAATGTAAACAAATAAAACAATGGCGACCGGATCACGTCCACGCGAGACTACCTAAATCATTATAAAAACACACAGCTGACATTTTAGGTGTATAGTGTATGTTTATTTTGTTGTATAACGCGGAAAGATATTGTCAAAGCTGTAAATGTTAGATTAAGATTAAATAACAATAACAAAGTGTTTTTCCCGTGAGTCTTTGCGAGCCGCCATTTTCATAGCCGCCTCAGTTTCCCTCAAAGCACTGGAAGAGAGAATTCGCTACCTGGAAAAGAAAGATGGAAATGGCTGCGAAAAACTCGCAGTACCACGACCCTATCAGGTAAGACCAAGTTATTTTGTTGTCAAATAACGTTTAATGAATTATTATTTACTTTACGTACAGAAATCCGGATTGGTAAACAAGCTAATCTGGCGAATTACAGCCACTGGCCATAGGTATTCGTCACTATGCATAATTCGACTTACATGTTAATTTGGTGCAGCTAGACATATGTCTTGAATTTATTTCATATCCGTTTGATATTGTTCATATTTTGCACATGGGTCATGAATCATCTCAGCTACAAAGACATAATTTCCGTTTTATTTTCAATTCAGTGCGTGTCATGATTATGGCAAATTTTAACATGGCGGTCTATGGGGAAAGAATACGCAATGTTATATATATATGTGTTGCCTCATGTAACTACAATGCGGAAAATTATGTATCTGTGACCAAGATGATTTCCTAACAACCTGCAAAATTTGACAACCAAATATGGAAAACTGAATTAATGAAAATTACACAGCTACACTAAAATAGCATGCAAGTCTATGAGAATTTTGCCGACTGACGTAAAGTCCATGGCTGTATAAGCAGTTTTGCTAGAAATATTTTCAAACGATGGTAAAAATAAGTCTATCTAAAAACTTTACTACAATTTTGAAAATATAGCAAATAGATTATATATTAATGGATTTGTTTTATTCAATTAGGCTGTTGTGAGGAAACATGTGTCACGACTACTCCTGGAGGAAAAGATCACCCTCTCTTACTGAAGGTATGTGTTTATGGTACTACGAAATATAGGGGTGCAGGCTAAAACGGAACCACAGCAAGCAAAACGGCACCAGGCGAAAACGGCACCATTTGGACATGACGGAACCTCCACTTGGCGAAAACGGCTACAAATCTTATGGTGAAAACGGCACCAAATAAAATTATAATTATTAGGAACATCTTATTTGTCATTATTTGTCATTAGATAATCTGAATACAGAATTTTGGAAGCCGTCTACTCTGCCGACAGTGATTGGAAAGTTTGTGTTAGCTGATAATCGGATTCCAGTATGTTTAGATAATGAATGAGTCTGACTGATAATCGGCTTGTAGAATGTTTCGATAGTCAAAACATCTACTGTGCCGAGTGATTGGAAAAGCCTGTAAATTTAGCGTGAAAACATCACAACCTTTGATGTTGTAAGTACATTTACTCAACTCAGACTTATACAGGAAGGAAGGCTGAAGGCATACATCCGAAAATCCTCAACAGCTAGGCAGGAGGAGGTTTTCGAATTGTGGAGTTAATTCAAGGATGGAGACCTGTCTCTGTCGCAGCTACTGTCAAGATGTGCGATGATCCATGGACCAATCGTTCAAGCATCCGGCCAAATATGGACGTGTGAACATGTGTTATGTTGACGGTTTGTTATCGTCTTTATTATAATCTTGTTATTTTAATGTAATGGTTGATCGAGTGAGTTATGATTTTACGCCGCTTTTAGCAATATTCCAGCTATATCGCGTGTTATAATCTTGCTGAAATAAAAAACATAAGTCAACGTCATACTGTGTTTTATATGTTGATTCTAATGTTATAATTAAACGAACTACAACATAAAGTCAACATCATACTGTGTTTTGTATATGGTGCCGTTTTAGCTCAGAAATCAGTAGCCGTTTTTCGCCAATACGGTGCCGTTTCGCCGCACGATTTTGGTGCCGTTCTGCTGTGGTTCCGCTTTAGCTATAACCCGAAATATAGACATAATTTCACTTTGAATATTTTATTATTATGCTTCCCTTTATACATTTTCACAAAATGAACCATACTAAAGTTACATTTGCAAATGGATTTGAATAACCGGTAACTTAATCATGATTTCAAATTGGACCAAATAAATCTTAACTTCACACCTGTGTGAAATGGCTGTAGGTGAATTCGTAGACCAGACTGGTTCGTAGACGTGGAAATCCGGTGGATTCGTAGACGGATTGAGCGGTGGATTCGTAGACGTTAGTAAAATGGGAAAAGTTCAACCTCAATGATGATGAAAATCGACGAAAAGTGTTTGCATTTTGTGAAATAAATAAAATATTGTTGTGTAAAATTAAAAGATATGTATTAGGTAAGTATCACCATTCAATTCAACTACGCAGACCAGCAGAAGTACCAGAAAACACTTCTTAAGAAAACACTTACATCTCCTACACAGAGTATTTCGCAATCAAAACAACTCACCACTTCTAAGTAACATTCACAACAACTCAGTGAAACCTGTTAATCCTCCCACAACAATGAAAACAGTCGGAAATTATGATGAGTAGACTAATTTTGTCTGATCCGCCTACAAAGTTTACCTGTACAAACATTTTTTTTTGCTTCTTTTTACACTCTTTTCAGATGATCTTGTTTAAAAAGTATCTGCATTTTATTAGTATAATGATTATGTCTCACATTTATATAATTTGTTTTCTAGATTCATATAAATACATGTAAAACAAGTCTAGACAAGAGACGGGAAAATATTCGTTCACTCTTTCTTGTCCTTATCTGCCCTTAGCTTCGTATCACTGAAAACAAAGCATAACAACTTCGTTATACACATTCTAAGTAAAAATCAAACTTAATATATACTATTATTCAATTATTAATACACGTCTACGAAATCACCGTCTACGAACCAGCCTGGGTTACGAATCCACCGCGTCTACGAACTGGTTCAGTCAGCGAAATCACCGTATCCCTGTGAAATTGCAGTCAAACTGACCCCTTGATTTTACAATACCGTAATTACTCCAAGGTTATGTCACATGACATAACTAAACTCCATTCATCAGGATGTTTATGTCAGGCCGTTCACTTACTGATTGCATAATCTAAAGTGATAGATCTGTAGTTTGCTTGTTGGTATAAATGTCGCTGCAATTGTTTGGGATTTTTTTAAAACTCGAATGAATGAATGGGGAAATGCAAAGAAAAGTAACGTGTTATTGTTTATTTTTTTCAGCAAAGCTGATGATGAGTCTGGAGACTGTATAGTGAATGACCAAGGATGGTCAGCAGGAACATGTGAAGGTAATTTTGACCTATCTGTAGTGACTTTCATTATAAATAGTAAATAATTTCAAATTAATGGTGTAGAGACAAGGTTTATGGATGTCAACTCCTTTATTATGTGAAAACATGTTTCAGAGTGACTGCTTACCCCTTCGTCAGGTGTAATCATTCACTCCGAAACATTGTGTTTTCACATAATAAAGACGTTGACATCCGTAAACATTCATGTCTTGAAAGACTAAATGGTGTAAACATACAGTCACTACTGGGTGAATATACTTGTGCCTTCAACAATACGACTGACTCACTGAGTTTGGTTTTACGCCGCTTTTAGCAATATTCCAGCAACATCACGGTGGGGGACACCAGAAATGGGCTCAATACGAACTGTAAGAGATTGAATATAGCAATTTGATGAAAATCTATTACTAGTACCATTATTACTATATAGAATATGCAATAAATGTTCAGATATATATATAACGTATTACTACCTCTGGTCTGGGAAGCATGTAACTCCAGAGCAAATTTTGTATAGATTGTGTGTCCTCTTTAGAAAAAAAGATATTTCATTCGGTCAATGAAGTGTGATGAGTTGCATAATTTGAGTTTTGAGAAAACTAGTGCAAAGTGTGATTGTTCAATTCTCTTTTATTCAAACTTCCTTTTGGATTACTCATTTTAAATCATCCTTGGCATTTTCAGTTTCTTGTTGATTGATGTTTGTGTAATTTATCAAAATAACCTAGTAAATTCGTTATTACCTGCCATTTTCAGAAACTTGCACAACGCCTAAACAGACTTGCATCTATCGATTGGCCAGATAGACGAAAGAAAAGGTAGCGACAACACTCACCATAGACATGACATCACCAGTCGTGAGTGACGAAGATGACGTCAATTAGTTGCATTCCGTCTCTTTTGTCTGGGAGTCCAGCAAGCTTCGGGCATACACGACGACACTGAACTTGGAAAGAATCTACACCTCCACTGCTCTCGTCATGGCCAACGTGAGGACGAGGATGAGGCATCCAACCAACCGGAGGGATCTCCGCCCAGGGATGCCCCTTATTGGGCTAACTGACCAACTCTTGCAACATAATTGAATTTTTTTTCAATTTCATAATGTAATTTTTATTTTATTTTATTTTGTATTGTAAGCTGTATGTTGTGTTATTGTATGATGTATATCATAGTGGATGTTTGGCGATAGTTGTGACATAGAGTGTGTGGCTGAATGCCAAGGCGTGCAAATAAATGTCCGATGCAGCTATGTTTTATTACTTTGTTAAGTTGTATCTTAGTGTTATTTTTCACCATTAGCATGATTTTTGAAATAAATTTCATATCTAACATGCTATTTCAAGATAATAAGTGAATGAAAGTTTAACTGATGAAAAATTCCTACTTTGTTATAAATGATCTATGATTTCTTAAACTGGATTGATTTATCCCAAAATGTTTTGCTCTGTTTTTTAGTGCTATATCACTAGTTATATGTATGATCTTTATTTGCCTTAAATGCTTATTCATGTTGAGAAAATAAAACAATGAATCTTATTATATATTCTGTTTTTCTTTAAGTAAATGTCATGATAATAACGAATTTCTTCTATTGTTTTTAACAAGAGTTTATGATCTGAATAAAGAAGAATGGTTAAATTTGGCTCTTTGAAGCGCATATGAAAACCTGTGTACCTGAAATTGAACCCGGTAACTGAAACTATGCGGAAACTATGTCGGATTGTTGGTAACTGAAACTATGCGGAAACTATGTCGGATTGTTGGTAACTGAAACTCTGCGTAAACCTGTTGGAGTCTTATTAATAACTGAAACCTTGCGGAAACCTGATGGATTCAAAGTTAACTGAAACTCAACGGAAACTTGTCGGAGTGTGGGTAACGGATACCTTGTGGAAACCTGTTGGAGTGTGGGTAACGGAAACCGTGCGGAAACCCTTAGAAAGTGGGTAATTGTAAGTTTCCGTTATTGCGGAAACTCAATGTAAAAGAACGGAAACTCACTGGATTCTAGGTGGAAACTTAAGTTTCAGTCCACTTTCCACCAGGTTTCCGCATTGCGGAAACCAAGTTATTTTTGCTGTGTCTGGTATCGGATATGACACTGTATGGTACATACACTTCTAAAAGGAAGAGGAACATGATCCACGAGCCCAAAATTAACCAGACTATCATGTGTGCTCTTCTTGTTAGCCGGATTTTCGATCTCTCCAGTTTTTCAAAGTAAACCTGTGCGTTGTTCCTCCAGGACATATTAATTAAGGGCAGTTTGTAAACAGACGTTGTAGAAATGTAATATGAAAAACATGACTTTGCTTGCCTCTTTCGGTGAAGTCAAGTTTTTCCAGTTGGTTAGCCATCCTACTCGTCCATTGTGGAACCATCCAAGTATCACAGTAAGCACTGTGATTACAAGAGATAGGACGTTTAAGCAAATCCCACAACCGTTGTCCCTTTTACCGTACTTGCAATTAACTCCACTGTAATTTAGCAAAGTCACTAGCAGTTTGAATGTCTTTTGAAGGGCGTATCCCTTGACTGCAATCAACTTATTTTCCATGTTTCAGTTGGAATCAGTAACAGTAAATTGGTCTCACAGCCGATACCGGACAGACACCCTGATCTACAGCGCTCTACCAATAAAATACTACAACCCGTGCGGATTTATTGAGCTATTTTACCATTGCCATGGGGACAGGACATTATTACTTTGTGATCATACCTTGGGCCAACCATTCGGTGTCTATTCGATACTCTTTTGTAAACACAAACTTGTCTTCATTCACCCAAGTTATAATCCTGCTAATGCGATGTGATTTGAAGCATCACGAATTGTCAACATGACGGTGCAGTAAAGGGAAATTCTGTGTTAGGGATCTCATTACTAATCTCTTTTGTTGCAATAACAATGGCTATGCCATCATGACCACGGTGTGTTTGTAATAGTTCTGTAAGGTGTGTTTTCACATGGGTGTTACTGAGTACTTGCAAAATGCAATTATACTTTCACTACGATTCCTTGTGACGCTTAATTATTGTTTAGTGTATGTATTTTCCTCGTTTCTTTCATGTTGTCCAGTGTCAGTTTAGCCTGGATGTAACCCTTCAAAGTAGAAATCGCATCAGAGATTTTGTCGCAATAACGGGAAACAGAAAAAAGTGTACGAAGGCGGCTTAGGCAGGCATGCAACATGCTTTGAACCTCAGCCAGCATCATGCTGTTTCGAATACAAAGCATTTCTGTCTTTTCTCGTTTTCAATGTTCAATGATTGGACGTCTCATGTGAAAAATCTCCATATGGGAAAGGTTCAGTTTTAGCTTGTTAAACACTGATTGCGTGGCTTTTGTTAAACGGTTGAGGCGAACATGGTAGTCGACTATCTCAGTATTTAAATGACATAGTTGTCAAAAATAGTGTATGTGTCAGACAGGGTATGAAACCGTTGTTGTACATATTGTGTTACACATTCCCGTGCTGATGAAACATTTTTGGGAAATGGTATAGTGTATAGAAGATAGGGAACTATTTCTCTGCAATGGTTTCTTTTTGATCAGCACGTTGTACCTGTGAAGGATACATGTGTGCTGTTCGATCTCAAGTACAGCGTGACCTATTAGGCCTCACAAACAGGAGTTGAATGCTATATACGTCACTGGCACAGGCTAAATTACATATAAAGCGATCGAACTTTCATCTCGTTC